GGAGAAAAGAAGAAGAGATCTGTGGGGTAAATCCAAGCGATGCCAATAAGGATGAGAATGGTAAATTAGTCCAATGGCCACTTCCGAGCAACCTGTGTGATATTTCGTGGCTCGATTATTGGCATGTAAAAACCACAATCCAGAAGAAGTCACACAACTATTTCTGCAGATACAGGAGCCCATTTGCTGTAAATAAGTCTGATGTATTGCTCCGTGCACTGCTGAGCCAAAAATCCAAACCCAACGAAACGTGGTGACACAGATGGGATGGTCGCTATTGGGGGGCAAAACCCAAGCGATGCCGGTCTGATGAGGGCATCCTTCAAAGCCAGGTTCATTTCCCAGACAAGAGGCGGCAAAACTGTAACGATAAGTGGTAGAAACGGTGGCTTCCCAGGGGGAAGGGGGGCCAACGCGATAGGGTTGAAGATGGCCTTTCAACGTGCCAGGAAACACTGGAACAGCTGTGGAAGGTCCTCTTTATCCAGGGCACATCAATATGGCGATGTCTCCAATTGCAGTGCAGGTTGAGATTAGGTGGGAGGTCATCACTGGCAGTCAGCGTAAAATACAGTTTCAAGGCGCTGGTGTCTCCTTGGGCAAAGACGAGGCAGCAGAAGAGCGCCAAGGTCGAACGCAAGAAATCAAAGAAGTTGGACCCTTCCACTGTGGATCTGGAAGCAACCTGTATGACACTAAAGGACGCTGCAATATTTCTTCCTTCCAGAAATGAAGTTCAGCAGGCGTAAAATTCCTGTTGTCAAATAACCAGGGTGACCAATATGTGATCTAAGATGTGCTTCAGAAAATTGACAAGTCCTGGCCTGTATCAAAGATGGGGCACTTTGTGCTGGAGTGACGTTGTTGTGCGGTAGATCTGCACTGCGCACGAAAATAGTCCACTTTGCTACATCCAAAGCAGGTTTTATCCTTTGCAGGATTCTGGGGCACGGTGGAGGACAAAGCCATGGCTAGCAGGCGAGCTTTGTGCATCTCAGTGCCCACTGACTGGCAGGCTTTAAGCACATCTGCAATGACTATATTTGGTGTTATCATCAAAGGGCGCAGCGCTTGCTTACAGTCCTCATTATCAAACGCAAGCTGGCGGACAATCAGTTCTTGGGCTGCTACGTCCTGAACTTGCCGCTTAAGAGTGTTATCCAAGCGATCGACAAATTGTCCATAGGGCTTTGTAGGACCCTGTCTGATGCTGCCACCGCGCTCATTCTTGTCATCAGGAACAGAGGACAAAGCTTCTTGGGCGGCAGCAGTAGTAGCTGTCCAATACATGGGATCAAGGGCCAACTGTTGGGCAATAGTAAGAAAATTGCCTTCGCCAGTTAAGCCATCAAGAACATCAGTTTGGTTCAGCATAACAGGGGCTGGGGGTGCAGGGCCATTGTCCTTGACAGAAGAATACAGTTCCTTTATGAATCTCAAATCAAACTGTTCGTGCCGGGCTGGGCCTCCCCCTGGCACGGCAGTAACACTCACAGGAAAAAGATTAGGAGTTGTAGAATCAAAAGCCAACAACGGAGCAGCGGCACGGAGAGATTCTTGGAGAGGAGTAGTAGAAGCGGTGCCAAATGCCTTGGGCGGAGGAGGTGGAAGAGCGGGGGGTGCTGCAGAATTTGAAGAATGCAGGGGAGTGACGGGAGAAGCCGGAGGGAAAATGTCCGGCGGTTTAGGAGGTATGTTTGAGGCAGGCAAAGCGGGAGCTGGGAGGGCGGGCGAAGAAGCTGTTGCCGCAGCCAGAAGAATGTTTGAAGGAGTTAAGCACGACATAGCTTTGTAGACGTTACTCCAGGCGTGCAAAACCTTGACATCAATCTGAGGATGATTTTGAAAGAAGTGTCCAATTTTTTTCCAATCGTCTAACTCCCAATTTCCGTCCTGGGGGAACCAGGGGCAGTGAGTGTCCAGGGCTTTTATAAGGGACTTAAGGTCAGCTTTCCGAACAGCAAGGTTGTTACTGGCCAAAAGGAATTTAAGGTCTTTAAAAATTTTTTTTCTGTGGTGCAGAGAGAGATTTTCCCATGATTGCAAGAGTTGCAAAAAGAGCAGGGAGCACTTACCGGAGGGATCCGTAGGAGGATGAGGAAGGCGCCTTTTGCCCTGTCCGGGCGGAGATAAGTGCTGATAAGTCCGTAACGTAGTCCAGAATCACATTCACACGGGAGCTCTCACCGGGGATCCACTACGTGGATGAACGACGCGTCTGCAGGGTGAGGCTGAACGTTGTAAAACAGCATGAAGTCCGAAAGAAATCACACGGGAGCACTCACCAGGGATCCACTACGTGGATGAACGACGTGTTGGTGAGTGCTGAATAATGAAAAACAACGTGAAGTCCGAAGGCAGTCACACGGGAGCACTCACCAGGGATCCACTACGTGGATGAACGACGTGTTGGTGAGTGCTGAATAATGAAAAACAACGTGAAGTCCGAAGGCAATCACACGGGGCACCAATTGTCGAGTTGCAGCTCGGCATTCAGAGGAAAATCAGTCTCACACCATGATAGGTTCCGAAATATGGCTGCTCCTAGGGCTAATGCAGCACAGCTTTTATTGTGTGAAAATCAGAAAGATACAAAAATACAAGCTAAGCAATTTGTTCTAGCAAGCAGATAAAGACCTTCGTACTAGACCATGCGAGTGATCAGGCCATGCTACGTTAGCCAATCATATAGGACAGCACGAGCTGTTCACGCGCTGTTCATGCTCCAAGGATGCTTCTAGCTATGAAATCACCCTGTAACAATAAGAACTTTGCTCATGCTCTCATGTACAAGCAATCATTTTCCCACACTAACTGCTTTTTTCATCCTCCTCCACTCCACCCCAATCCATCCACTGTTCCAGGGATTCGTACCAAGCACCATAAATGGGAAAAGGATTAGGAGTTGAATGAGGAATGGGATTGGCAAGGCTGAGTGGCCCAAATCAAAACCCTGGTCAAAGTGTGCTCTCCATTGTCTGCTCCCATTTCTGTATAAGATTTCTCCCTCTCCTTCTTCCAGCTTCCAGCTGCAGCATCCACCTTGCCGAACTCTCAGCCTCTGCTCTACGAACATCTGTTTTCCGAGTGTGTGTTCTGAAAACATTTCACAATGATAACTGCCAGGCAGGTCAGCTGCTGTGGAGAGCTATACAGGGACGTCCTCTGCCAAAGATATTAACTCTTATCCTGGAAGGAATGAACCCACTAGCCTTTCTTAGCAGCACCAAAACATCTTTCAGAAAGCTATGTGGTAGAGAGGCACTTGGGGGAGTGCAACTTCATTCGACCTCCAAGAGAGAAAACTAGTGTTGGGATTCCTTGACTCAAAGCAGGAATTTATTTTGGAAAGAGTTTTCTCATTTCCTTTGAAAACAAAAAGAACACACACACACGTGACATAAATGTGCTGTTAACGTAAGAAATGCAAAAGACTGCCGTTTCCTTGGAAAGTATTGTACAACAAAACAAGAATTATAATGTGACAGCAAGAGGCTTTTCTTAGGAATCTGAAAGATTCCTAAGCAGCACGAAGAAAAAAAAAAAATACAAGGCCAGGCAACATCTTCCAGCGTTTCAAGGAAACCAAATTAGTATTATAGGAACCACAAATTGACACTTACATGGGAAGAACCTGAATCCAGCAGCCCTTGGCACTCCTGCTTCTATGAATGATTAAAGCCCAATATAGTTATGACACGACAAAGGTATGCCTGAGTTGCTTAATTCTTCGTTGTCATAGTAACAAACAACTCTTCTAAAGCTTTAAGATGGATGCAAATCAAGCTCCTGCATTGGGAATACTTTGCATGTAGAGAGATCAGAACAGTGGCCAAGTGTGGCTGTAATCTAGGCTTGGCTTCCTTGAGGCAGGGATTTCTTACAACCCGGTCTCACTCCTCAGTAAAAAGAATGCTAAATGTTGTCTTCCCTCCCACTATGCTGGTTGTGCAGGGAAAAAATGCAGGAGAGGAAGGACCCATAGGATGTAGTGGATTAAATTCAGTGGACTGAAGGAGATGGAAACCTTTGAGAACTTGTGAAAGGTAGCCAATTATTTGCATTATATTAAATGGGGTGGGAATAAAAGCACATTTTTTAATTTGAATGATTCAACAGGCAGTGTTACAACCAGCTAGTTATCACTGACTGCAAATATTTATAGTAAGCCCACAACTTACACAGGGGTTACGTTCTGGGGATAGGGCCTAAAGCCAAAATTGCATATAGTCAAAATTGCCAAAGTCTTTCCTCCTGAATGCCCACCCCCTTTTTAATTCATTCTTTTTTCCCTGCAAGGTGCTTAAAGCTGAATTTGCACAAGTTAAATGTGCATAAGTTTCGGGCTAACTATATTAACTTAAGCCAAATATATACTACCCAGTGCCAGTTACAGATTGAGGTAGGGCTTGAGAAGGCAGCCTCTCTTTTCCAAATCTTACAACCGTGAAGCATAGAAAATTGCACTTCTATTTAAGTAACACCAAAAATTCTCAGGGTTTAAGAGCCAAAGGTTCCCAGGGAAGTCCCTCAGTCTGATACAAATAATGGGGGAAACTTACTGTCCATCTCCTCATTTGTGACAAGGCAAACATGCCTCATATTATATGTCAAAAGGGTTATACCGTAGCAAATAAACTCATCTTTCCATCCTTCCCTATCAATGAGTGGATTACTTGCAGCTTAGTGCACTCGCTTGAAAAATAAGGTGGGGTGGGGGAGGACTACTCACACTGCTGGTACTTCCATATGGGTCTCAAATATCATAACTGGTGCATTAAAAGAATCCATTGCCTCTCTAGGATTTGCCTGGTATATTTGATCCAAGTTCTTTTTTGCCCACTGTGTCAGCCAGGCAGTCTCATTTCATCTGTATTCAGGACATTCTCTGGAAGCATTATGGATTCCTCCAGATTGGATGCTGCTATATTCATTTCTAACTGCATTAACATAATAAAGCCCTAAGAATAAAACCTCATTAAAAAGTCAAAACAACCATGTTCTAATAACCTATTTATTAGAGTTAGGAACACTACAGATATTTGTGTCTGCAATACATACTTCAAAACATCCAGTGTGCAGAACTGATCCAGAGACAGCACATAGATTGCATGGTTATTATGGTCTAAAACAGTACAGAAAATATACATGCACACAGTTGGATTATACACATTTATGAAGAGCGTCTAATCATGCTTAAAATACAATTAAAGCTTATTACAGAAGCATAAAAAGAGAATCTGTAGTGAAACAATACTGATGACTACATCAAATTAACTGCTGAGAAGTTACTTTGTACCCCAGTATTGGAGCCTTCCCAATTTGTTGTATATTATCTAAAAATTATCCAGTGGTTTTTCCATGAAAGAATTAAACGCAAGCTGAATTTTCTCTTCAAACTCAATGGAGTCTTTAAAAGCAAAGACTCCATTTGTGGCTGGATCATTTTCAGATCAGGTACAGTACACCAAGAAGATTCCAAAACTGGCATGCATGTGCAGAGCGCTTACTATTTATGCTACCTTTAACTGAAGAATCCTTCAAGAAAACATTTAGATTAGAGCCTATACATTGCCAGGGGGCGGGGGGAACCACTGTCTTCAGACTTCTGCCAGAGAAAACAACAACACAGAGAATGCACTTATCCCTGAATATACTCACCAAGTATTTCCTTCCATTTCTGAGTTTTAAAATGTTTATTTTATGTTCACTCATGTGGATTTACATGGATTGTAGCTTACCAAGCAGAGAAATGAGCCATTATTCTCCCTCTTATAATTGTGTGTGTAAGAGCACACACCCCGTTCTGTTTAGTAGAAAACTGTTGCCAAATTGCCTTTAAAATATGTGCACTACTTACTAAATAGTTACACAATTTTTCTAAGAGTGTATTAATGAAATCTCATATAAATTAGTAAATGGACCTCAAAACTGTAGTACTGAGACAGCTTTCAGGTGATCCCATATATTAAAATGTTTAAACACTTGAGTGTCTCTCTGTTGTGTTAGCTCTCTATCATGTTAGCAGAGAAGGCATCCCATTAGCTTTTAAGTGCTAGCTGAAAAAACAAAGTACTATAAACCTTTTCACATTCCTGCCTTCTAATGGAACTTCAATGAGATAAATATTACTTTCTAGCTCCTAACAAGAATGTAACAGACTAACATCTCACACACAAATATGCTTCGAATTATACAGCAAATGAATGCCATATTAAAAATTATTTGTGTGCTTTTGAGAGAAAAAATGGCTTCCCCAACAGGGGGAAAAAACCGCACTCAACATATTTAAAGTCAGAAGATGTTTTCATCCACAACCAACAAAACAAGTTCATGTCATTAATATTAATATTGTGTGCACTCTAAATAAACTAGCTGATTGCCTTGAACCAATAAACAGAAAGACTGACAACATTTCAAACAGAATGTAAGGAAATGATGTTATGAAGTGAGCCTACTTTACAAAAAAAGCACCCTTAGATGAAAGAAGTGCCCTTGCAGTATTATGCTATGCATATTTCTGGTGGAAAGCTAACACTATTAAGCACCCACAAGGATAGATGTGGTCCAATAAAATAGTGATGACTTGCTCCGATATCCATCATCCTATCCAATTTGTCATGCTGTTCAGGGGCATTTAATACCTTTGTATGTTATCAGTAGAGACTGCTAGTAACGGCATTTTACTCAAAGCCAAGACTCATTAAGAGGTAGCTTAAGGCAGCCTTCGGTAACCTTTAATGCATCCACACCATACATTTAAAGCACACTTACACCACCATCACAGTCACTGGCTCCCCCAAAGAATCATGGGAACTATAATTTGTCTCCCTCAGAGCTACAATTTCCAGCACCTTTAACCCAGTTCCCAGGGTTCTATAGGGGAAGCCATGTGCCTTCAGCGCATGGTGTGAATGGTACCCTGGTGCCCTCAAGCTGCTTTGGACATCAATGCCCATCAGCCTCAGCCAGCACTGATGTGGAGAGTGCCAAGTTGGTGAAAGCTGATTTAGGATTACCTTTAGTCGAAATGAATGCATCCTTGCTCAAAAGGAGTTCTCTACAAAGGAACATATGTATATATGTCAAGGACAACAATACATGCAGCCGCTGCCACCTGCACCAAAGAAAACAGACTGAGAAGATAAAAAGAATGGAAAGGGCACTCTCTGTCTGCGTCGCCTCTAATGCAGGAGTTCGGGCTGGTTTTCTACAAAAGGAAGAACTCCACTGACATAGTATGCAATCCCCAGAGAGAGCAAAGCAATGACCACCAACAAGAGCAGCACCCTCCAGACGCCAAGGTCCTCCACAAATTCTTGCCAGGTGGTTCGGAAGCTGGAGAGGACTCCCTCACCTTGCTGCAGGTTGGGGTTGAGAAGCGAGTGGCTTTCCATTGCGCTATAAAAGGAGCACAGGTGAATTAAGGTTAATGCATCAAGCGAAAACTCCAAACCACAGAACATTAATATTGACTTAACTGTGCAAGCAACATGCCAAGGGCTTACTGAGCTAAGATTGGGTTTTGGATGTGGAAAGCCCAGATTAAAATGACCAGGCTGCTTCACACTTTGGTTGGCTGCGTTTGCCAAAACTACAAGAGTGTTACAGTGGTATTTCCCACCAAAAACCCCACACCGAGTGAATTCTGTTTATGGTTTAACCAAAAGTGCATAACCACCGTTTTTACAAAATATATGCTATTACACAATACACTGCACAAGGAGCCTTGGTCTCTGACACAGACCTGCTGCATGTTAAAAGGAAACATCTTTTATATTCCCTTCACAGATGCAGCCCTGTACCAAATGTCGTAAACACTGGTTGTGTGAAGACACTCTCAGCAATTAAACTGAGGGACATCACTGCAAGAGAAAGAAGTGAATGTAACAGGACCAATGAGGAGGGATGAAAAAAACTGGGGGTGGGAATAATGTACAAGTGGAGATTGAAAGGAGAATGGGAGTAGATATTTCAAGAGATGGGCAACGAAGCATGCGATGGTGTGGGAAGGAAAACATATAAAAGAAAAAGCTTTCTCCACTTAGATGCTCTAGGTCTACACATTCTGCCTAAAATGTGGAGTCTGAGTCACAATGCCTGCACAGCAAATGCCTGTACTTAATTTGAGGAAAGCTGAGTTATGGAACTCCTTGTCACAAGGAAAATGATGTGGCAAAGAAATTTCCAAAGATAGATTAGATGGCAGTAAAATCATTATGAATAATCGCCAGCTGAGTATGACAAACTCTGCCTCCATGTGCCACCATTTTGTGAAGAGTGGGCCTCAGTAATCTTTGGCCATCTCAAGTGGATGGGGGCGGGGGAGGAGTTTGAGAGGGCACTGCAACCTCATCACATTCAGTGACCTGATTTCTGATTGGCTGGGATCACCACTAAAGATGGTCCCAAGGAACAGCAGGGGAGGAGGAATAGTGGTTGCAATCAGCCATAAAAGATACACAAAATAGGTATTAATTACACCTCCTGAATTTTAAAGAAAGTTGAATGAGAATATTTGGCTATCCACTGGCCAAATATACTGCTTGCCAAGTAACTGGGTAGAGTGTGGGTTTTTCTTTACACTTCTGAAAGGAAAAAGGTTAGAAACTTAAATGCACACACACACTTCTAAAAAATTGGTAAAGGGTCATGGAGTGAGGGGACTAGGCCTGCTCCTGTCACTATGCAGTCTACACGACTGCTCCATGGCAGAACACATGTGCAGGATCTCAGGGAGAGGAGAAACAGACAGAAAGCACCTGATATTTGTAATACAATTCCCTACTTTTGTTTTTAAACATTTACTTCCCTGGAAGGAACCTTGGTGTGTTTGCTACTGCAGAATCCAGCCATTTCACCCTTGTTATCAACTCTTCTAACACACAACAGGAATGCTTACTAATTAAGACTCAACCTGTTAATCTATAACCACTATAGAGGTTAAATAAAGGTATGGTGTATTTTAAGTGGAAAGATCACATGGCTACTGAAAACAAACTAGGCCTCTTTCTTTGAAAACAGAAAAAGGCTCACCGAGAAACCACCTGTGTTATTTTCCATTACCACCAAATTAAACTCTCGGCACTAAAATGGTAGTAAGTGCTGGAATACCAGCTATTTTGGAAGGACTTGGGAAGTGACGTGAATCCCAGATGTTGTTTCTGCTGCTAAGAAAAGCAGGCTGCATTTTTGTTAGATGTTGCTACCAACACAGTGGTTGGCCGTTAGTTACGGGTCTGGCTAAGGCTAAGTACACAAGGAGAACACATCCTCAGAGTTAAAATGCCTCCAATAAGACTCCACACTAGAGGGAAAGGGTGAGAGTAGTTGGGAATCCAAGCTTCAACTGCTAACAGAACGAGAAAGAGGAACAATTAATTTGGTGAAAGAAGAAAGCAGGAAGGAGACAGAACGCAAGGCAAAGAATCAAACCCTAATTGCAGTCTTCTGTTTATATTTTCCTATTCAACCACAAAGGGTACAAATGTAAATGCACCTTTGAGCCCTAAGTATACCTATTGTTGCCATGAAAAGTCCTGTATAAAAAGATGGTACTTAAAAGACTGTAGAGCAATTCTAGGGACACTGGGCAGCACATTGTTTAGATATTTGCAGCTCAATAAGACACTTTTCTTTGCCAAGTTATTTCATGAAAAAAAATTAGGGGATAAGGAAGCAATGGATTACGTTTAAATGCATTAGATGCACAATGCTGATTTGCAAAGGAAAGCTCGATTAGAACAGGAGGACAGTGGAGCCAACACAAAGAGGGAGAAAGAAAGGGGGAGAGAGGAAGAAAAAGAAAGAAAAAGGAGCCCCAAACTTACCGCTGCCGCCCCCATCTCTGCCGAGGAGAAAGCAGAGGAGAGGTACGTGAGCACGGGAAGGCAAAAAAGGCTCCGAAAAAACAACACGTGGCTGAGCCCCACCGGGAAACACAAAGAAGCAGCATAACAAAGGAGAAACTAGCTTTTTTTTTCCCTCCCCCCCCTTTTTTTTTTTTTTTTTTAACCCCCTTCCTTTTTTTAACCCCTTCCTCCCCCTCCCTCCCCCCTTAAAAAAGCAGGGGAGAGGTAGGTGAGCACGGGGAAGGCAAAAAAGGCTCCGAAAAAAACAACAACACGTGGCTGAGCCCCACCGGGAAACACAAAGAAGCAGCATAACAAAGTAGAAACTACCTTTTTTTTTTCCTTCCCTTTTTTTTTTTTTAACCCCCTTCCTTTTTTTTAACCCCCTTCCTCCCCCCTCCCCCTTAATATATATATATATACCTTTTTATCCCTCCCCCCATATACCTACTTTTATCTCTTTTCCTTATAAAAGAGGGTCCACTGCTACTGCAGCCACCCTTTATTTGAATCTTTACCGCTGATATTACTGTACTATCTCTCCCTTCTCTTTCACTCCAATCTCCCCTCTCCCCCCGCCTCCCCCCTTTTTCTTTCTTTCTTCTTCTTCCCTTTCTTCTCCCTCCACCCTTTACATATAGCCTACTTGTCTGTCTCTGTTTCTGAGCGCACTCCCAACCCCCAACTTCCACCTCAACTGGACCCCAATACCCCTTTTGGGCATATACAACCCCCTCCTAACACATATCTCCCCTGGCCCCACCCCTCCAATCTCTTGCATCTCTACCTGCTAACCCCCCTCCCTTTATATGAACTGTCTGCCCGTCAGTCTACCCATCTCTGCTTACCTGCCCCCCCCCCCGCCTCGGCGGCACCGCTGAGGCATCTACAGAAGCCCTAAAGAAGTTCTTAAAACACAGACTAGAAGTGACACAAATGACCACCTAACGCAAACGCTCTGTAGAAGCCACCAACCAACAAAGCCTGATCAGCTCAGCAACCCAACAATACCCAGGAATCACCACTGCCACAACTCCTAACCACCACACGACCTACCCCAAGAGGACGCCAAGCCAACCTCAAACCAAAACCAGGGAGACCAAGACGACACCAACCAGGGAGATGGCAAACAATGTTAAGACGGTAACTCCCCTTCAAGACGATGACCACCAAATAACGAAACGAGATCTGAGGGAAATGGAAGCAAGACTAGAAGAAACACTGAAAGCCACAATGGCTCCCATGCAGGTACTAATCAACAATCTAACCTCCAAAGTGGAAGCTCTAGAGAACAAGAACCAAATGCAAGAAAGAATAATAGAGCAATACCGGGAAGAGAATGCACGTGTCAACAAGAAACTGGACGAACTGGTAAACCAAATGGAAGCAGAACACAGAGAGATGAAAATTAAGCAAGCCGACCTTGAAGACCGCAATAGACGTTGTAACATCCGCTTCCGCAACTTTCCTGAAAAAACAGAGGAGAAAAGCCCAGCAGACCTAATTATACGCTGGCTGAAAAACACAATCCCAAGCCTGAAATTTGAGGCAGATGACTTGGAGAGGGCTCACAGAGCCCTAAAACCTACGCCAAAACCCAGCGCCCCCGCCAAGTTATTTCATGAAAAAAAATTAGGGGATAAGGAAGCAATGGATTACGTTTAAATGCATTAGATGCACAATGCTGATTTGCAAAGGAAAGCTCGATTAGAACTGAAGGTACTTCTTAAATGGAAGAGGTGGGCTGCATCTCCTATAGAACGGGCAAAGAAAACCACCATTTTGATTTACTTAATGCGTAAGAGGATCTTGAGAAAACCCATAATATGTTAAAGGAATAAAGATCTTGTTCCCCTTTCCCAATGTGTTGATAAGGATTGGAGGACAGGCATTAAAAAGTCTAGCCTAGTTTCTACTTGAAAATAATTTTCAGGATGAAAACCTGAATATATCAATATTCCAGCTGCTTCACTGTAAATATGAAGCACATACATTTCCAAGGCAGATAGTATTTTCAACTTGCCCCCTGGCAGCTGGGAAGGGGCCTATCTGCATAAAGCAGCAGGGATGGTGGAAGTGAGAGCTCCCTTGCTCCCTTGCCTACCACAGAAAGGCTATGGAAAGTGTGTAGCACCAGTCAGACAACTGCAACCTGCAGCAAGTGCCTGAGGCTTCCTGTGTTTACACAAGCATATCTCCCTTTCCGATAACACAGCGTTCATTGAAAGACACACAATGGACACACTGAAAGCAGGTCTGTCACATAGAACACAAAACGACCCTCAGAGACTTTCTACTGCTGAAGCCACTCACTACAGGCTGGTTTGGGCATGACTGAATGCTCCTCCGTACAAAAATCACTATCTGCCCGTGGTTTTCCAATGTGTCAGAAAGAAAGTTAAGCTAGAACCTTTCTCCCTGATATCTAATTTTCTATGTCTAGGGTTTTCGCTTTTTGGTATGGAGGAGAAGTCAGGTCACGTGAGCCTCCTCTGGCGATCCGAGATGGTACAGGCTCATTGAGAACTAACCATATGTGATTTTGGCTGACTACCAAAGTTCATGAGTCACATAAGACACAGGCAGTACAGCTTTCGAAGAACCTGAAAGATCAACTTGGAAACTAAAGCCCAAACATAGAGTAAAGGTTCTATGGAAACGCTGACAATAAGCCCTGACCTTTTTGAATACGCAGAACAAGCTCCAAACATGAGAACTCATTCAGCTATGTTGAACCAGTAAACAATACTGATTTGGTTTTTATTGCAATACCTTTCACTCTCAGCAGTCTGCATTGTTTCCAGCTTCGAGTGAGTTCCTCTGTTGAATCCTTTCACTTCTTGCTCCTCCAAAGATTCTAGCAACCGGATCACATCTTTATTTACACCTCTTCGTTTTGCCAGAACAAGAGGTGTAGCACCTTGGTGATTGCTATATTAGGCATAGAGAGAAAGAGCTCACAGAACTGTTTCTACTTGAAACATGGATAGATGCAATAAAACTGTTGCCACATTTGCAGAGCTAAGTATGGTTTCAAATTAGATGAGGGACCGCGTGTTGAGATTCCTGCATTGCAAGAGGTTTGACTAGATGACCCCCGGGATCTCTTCCAATGCTACAATTCTATGACTTCTATATCACAAGAATTTTTAGGGACATTCCTTGCATTATGAGGGAGATGTGTAATATTTCAGAACCATTTACCATGCGATTCCATCCAATAACACAAAGGTGCAGCATGGCAATCATCTGGATGATGACTCTCCAATTTAGACAGGTGAACCAGGTGGAAAGCAATTTCCCCAATGTTATAACTGCCATATGAATTTTTGGAGGTGTAAGCATGCAAGGGTAAAGCATTTCAAGTGGCCTTCAAATAGCCCATTATTGCAGTGTTTTATTACTACCATTGCAGTGGTTTTTTTCTAAACGAGCACCTATGTAGACAAGATAAATAGCTCCTTAATTTTATCATTCATTAAAAACTCTTTTGAATTTAATACTGATACTGACAATGGATGGAGAAAAGGGGAAACGAAAGCAACTTTTCCTAAACAACTGTTAAGAGATTGTTTGGGATTGCAAGATCCAGGTTTATTATTTCATTTTAAGTCTGCACAATTGCATTTGATCACATTTTTCTCTGCCCATTATCTTTCCTCTTGCATTTTGTTGTCTAATTTTCCCACCAAGGATTTGTTTTATTTATGTACCACGTACGTCAGTACCATAGCTGGCACCAATTCTTTTTCAGAGCTTCCTGTTGCATTATCAGAGGACCTATCCCAAAGTTAATTATGATGATTTTTGTTGAATTCATGCAAAGTACAGGTGAACTTACTAAGACTGCGCTGTCTCTAGATCTCTTAGCCAAATACAAGTCAATAAGATGTCAAAATATAGCTCAAAAAGATAAAAACAACAGACTTAAGCCTGACTGCAGTTTTCCGACAATAAGGATATGTGAGCAGATAGTTCAAACAAGAAACCATTCTGGGACAATTGTTAAATGTGTTTATTTATTCAGTACATTAAATGCTTCTGTCCGGGCACTGGCATTGACAGATGCTGGGAGCCTGGCAGAGCAAATATGCAGTATTTCAGAGAAAAGACTGAATCACAAGCTCTGGGAGCAGGTAAGGTGAACGCTGGAAAACAATGTTATCCACAGCAATGAAAAAGAACTGGGGAACACATTTTTCTTTACACTGAAACCAGCAAGTCGTGAAATGAGGCCAGTTATTTTGAGATGATTCCGTCTTTCATGGAAGGAATTGGAAAATAATCTTTCATGGAAGGAATTGGAAATAATCTCTGCCTGATACCGCTTCCATGGTGCCACCACCACAATGTGCAGTACAGATGGTCCTTTTACCTTCCATGGAAGGGGCTCATGACAGTGGCAACAACCATCAAGAAGAGGCAGTGGTACTGAGGAAACCATCCTCATAACCAGCGTTCAAAATTCCCCAGGTGCCAGGCACGTTTTGTTACTGGCGCTGGTCCAATTGTGACTACATGGAGATCTCTGGGCGCCAGGTTGGCAAATGACATCTCCATCAAGCCAGTTGACTCATGCGCAGCAAAAGCTGCGTGATCTATGTTTCTGCACTGCCATGCAAATCATGCACCCTTGCTGGGCATCTTAGTCCTCCATCATCACATCAGGTAAAGTAAGAGCAGGGCTGGGTACACATATATTTGACTGAGCTGCAGCCTTTCCACAGGCCAGCCAAATGAAACTCACAAACCAGAGTTTATAAATCTCTGCCTTAGTCCATAGTTAATACCCATTTCCATTTCCACCATGTGTGTTTCTCCTTCTAGCATACTGGGACAAGTGAATTGTTGTAAGAGTCAACAGTCAAGCAATGTAGTTGAGATCATAGAATTGTAGCGTTGGAAGGGACCCAGAGGGTCATCTAGTCTAACCCCCTTGCGAACAGACATTCTGTTGTGTCGACCGTAACCTGGGTTTGGGGTGCCATTTGGTGCCTAGCTTATATATCTAACACCGCTATATATCTGTGTTATATATCTACACTGCTCATAATGTGGGAGAATCACAGTTCTTCGTGCTACAGTCTCATTGGGGAGGAAAAGCAAATCCATTATAAGTTATAACAATGGACCTGAAGGCCTTTCCAGTTTCTCCTGTGTCAGCTCTGAAACAGCTTTTGTTTTTTGTGCAGCTCATTAGCCCAGAACTATGCTGAATTTCTACTCCGGCAAGGCTGCAGAATAAACTGACATGTCTGAAATCCCTCGCATGTTCCTTTGAGTGGCCCAATCTGCCTATTACGGTAGATTATCAAGCAACAAGTATTATTTTTTACAAAAAATTCAAGACACAGGGTTCCAGCATACTTACCAAATATCTATTTTGAGCCCGTTGGACACGAGGAATTGAATGGTATCCACATGCCCACACAGGTGAAGGGCTGTGTTACCTTGATAATCAGTGGCCAGCAGATCAGCACCAAATTTATGCAACAACTGACAGATGTCTACGTTTCCTCTGGCCGCTGCTAGGTGGAGGCCTGTTCGGCCACGGCTGTCGCGAATGTTTGGGTCAAAGCCACTCTCCAAGAGCCTCTTGGAATAGTTAAAATCTCCATCAATGCAAGCCTGCAGCAGAGGCACATTTGTCTGTGAAGAATCGTTTACAAACACATAGGACATGTCTGTTTCTGGAAAGGCAGCAAGCCTGTAGTTGAAAATGAAATGAAATGAAACCAACGGTGAGACTATGCTGGTGAAAACAATGCTAACACTTCAAGCAAGCAATTATTTTCCTGAATGAGAAAAACTGTCACATGGAAGTCAGATCCAAACTACTGTACTGTATACATATAGTGCAGGATTCAACTTACATGTCACCTCAACAGAAGCCCTGAACAAGGATTTCTGCTTATGCAACAAGTCCATCTCCACTCCCCTCAAAATTGGCTCTTGGGGGGAATTGGGAGAACCCCCCTGGCAAGCTGCAGTGCTTATGCAAACAGAACGTTCATAATAGCACAACATTGAATTTCACCCATAGTGCTTCATATTTCACTCTGAACAGAGAACACTTTTACTCCTTTTTCTCCCCTACAAGGATTAGTAACTCTCTCACTTCGGAGGGTTGGTTCAGGTCACTATGATGAATGTCAGACAGTTGGTAAATCCTTACTAAGACGAGATCTCCCTGACCTCTGCAGCTTAATTTCAGAATATAAAGGGTGATCAGGAGGGAAGGAAAGATCTCCTGCAAAGAGGCTTGCCCAGCTCCCATATTATGCCCTTTCTGGCAACTTTTTTATTTTCCCAGGCATTTTAATTTTAAAATTTGTTGCTGCTTTTCAATCTGCCATATTAAATAGCTTGGGTATTGCTGATTTTACCTATTTCAATTTTTGTGGTAAGTTTTATTCTGTTTTTGCTTCATGTTTTAATATTTTACCGTTCACTTCCCAGAGATCATTGATGACTGGGTGATATACAAATATTGCTAATGATTATAAATTTGAAAAGCCTAGTTTTCTCCAACTGAAGAAGGGTACATGCAGATACATTATGCAGTCTCCAGATAAGAGACAGTGATGCAGATGAGACATTCTTATACGGGCTATAAATAAAACCTCTCTTAATGCGATTTCATTTCTCATTTATCCGTTCCTTATTTACATTTGAACTTCAGCACATAAGCAGCGGTGGTGTGTTTTAGCTTAAAATACCATCCTCCCTGAATACATCAGCCCCCTCAAACTAACTTTAAATGGTACCTTCTCTACTGTACATTTCATTTACACAAAGATTTCATTCAACTCATGTGCATCAAATGCCCAATTTAGAGACAGAGAAACAAAAGCAAACCATTAAAGATGTATGCTATGTAACCTCCATTCCTTTTCAAAGGGAGTTCTACAATTGTACAGTCTGTTGTTGTAACCTACCCTGGGACCTTATAACAAAGGACAGGTACGGAATCTCATAAATAAATAAAAATCTGTTGGAATTCATGGAAGTTATGTAACAATAGTGTTTGGTGGACCACATCCCATGCCACCAAGTATCCTGAACTAGGTATCAGTAAAGGAAAAGCAGTAAAACACAACCCAAAGTGGAAGGTTGAAGCTGTGGAAATGTGAGAGGTAATTAAACAACCAGAATAAGAATCAAGTGAACAACTGAATCTGTTTAATGTGTTGTTCTACTATTTAAATCTTTATCTTGAGGCTTAAAAATTGGATTATGGAAAGCAAAATATGGATTTTGGATACTCAAGACTCAGTATTTTCCAAACAGATTCCCAGTATATTTTATACAATAATTCTGAATAAACATTTGGATCATTTTGATTGTACACGAAGACTCTGATCCTAAGCACTCTTGTATGAAACCAAGTTCCTTTGAAATTAACTGGGCTTATTTCTTCTAAGCAAATATAGTGAAGAGTTGGTGTTTGTTTTTTAATATTCTATAAATTGGGTCTTCCCACCCCTTGCTCTTTTATGCTTACTTTTCAAGTTTACAATAGCAAACAATCTTTTTTCCCTTTTTTTAAAAAAGCTGTTTCACAAACATTGGGATTTTAGCAGTTATTTCACATAGCTATGATGCCCCTATCTAGTCTTATGACTAGACTTCAACAACTGCAGTGTGGCACTGCCCTCTGGCGACCATGTTGAGTGACAACAAGTTTCCGCCCAACTTGGATGGGTGGGAGTTGACCTGGTAGCTTTTGTGGCAATTCTATTTCCAGCTCCGAGACTGAGAGAAAAGCTGGCCATGCTCCCCACGCCCCAGGTCAAGCCAGCAAGCCCACCACCCTTTCCTGCTATAGGGACTTCTTGCAGCGTCCTGAGCACTCCTGCCTCTCTATCACACAGGAGAGAGGGGCAAGGTGAGGTGGGCAGGCTTCTACAGCTGTTGCCCAGCAGAGGAGCTGTGAGTCTTGCTACCAAGCAGCGGCTGAAGCCCTCACACATCTGTCTCTGCAGTGGTACCTCGGGGTTACATATGCTTCAGGTTACATACGCTTCAGGTTACAGACTCTGCTAACCCAGAAATTGTACCTCGGGTTAAGAACTTTGCTTCAAGATGAGAACAGAAATCGTGCTCCGGCGGCGCGGCGGCAGCAGGAGGCCCCATTAGCTAAAGTGGTGCTTCAGGTTAAGAACAGTTTCAGGTTAAGAATGGACCTCCGGAACGAATTAAGTACTTAACCAAGGTACCACTGTATTTCCTAAATGATAAAAGGGGGGGTGCATTCAGAGAAACACAGTCAAGCAGCAGCCGAAGCCTACATTCTCCCTGCTTCTTGTTTCTAAGAAAACAGGCTCTGAGCAAAGCCAGTCAAAAATTGCAGACTCCTGCCTATGACCCTTAACTGCAACCTGAAAAATGGGGCCTACTCTCAACTTTTCAACACACACATCCAGGTTCCTGCTTTTCTATCAGGACCAACCAGGTGTAAAGGAGGCGGTCAGGGTTCCCTATTCAATATGGCAGATTGAATTCTGGTTGGCACAGCTTATCAGGCAGGGAGATAAGAAATACTTCACCATCTAAAATTCCTTCTTCTATACAAAGCTGTTTTTTTTAAATAAAAAACAGCTGCCACCCCTTGGAGGTCTGACCCACTGACTGAAGATCAATGTCCTGCAACAGCTGAAAGTTAAATTCTCTATACAATAAAACCAGCTCGGCAATGGAAAGCCTGAATTTAATACAGAGTGATGGTAGCTGAAATTGTTCCAACTGATTGTGTTTCCAGCAACATGTTGCTTTGCTTTTTATACCTTGATAAATTCCAAAAAGCGTTTATCCAAATCCTTCTAGATAGTTATGGTTTACTACAAATACAGAAAACAAACCCTGAAATGAAAGACGTGAAAAGTACAGTTCTAAAGGATGCTATTACTGCATAATTTGTGATAAAACTTCTTTGAGGGATTTCCCCCAAATCAAGCAGTGTATAAATTTTATGAAATAAATAAATGTCAAATGAACATATTTATTCTGTAAGTGCTATTCATCTATAGAAATGGTTTGTGGTCTATTCAGCCTCCTTTGAAAACAAAACAGTTTTCACGAAAGGGACTAGACAGAATTCGTAAGAGATCACCACTGCCTTCTAGAGTAGCAGCTGCTTCCATTATATCTGGAAGAACAAAAACTAAGCACATAAAGCTGCTTTCATTTCCAGTCTGTGATGTTGGGCTCACCCATGCTGTCATTTAATGTGGATGGTAAGCTTCCTGTACTTTCACAGATTCTCCATTGTCCAGATGACATTCTCCTCCAAATTATCGCCTTCCCACACTTTCCGCTTCCTCAAATCCAGATTTTCTCATACCAGGGATACTCTGAAAAATTGAAGGTATGAGAACATCTGGAGGGGGGAGGAAGTCTGGGAAGGGAGTGTTTTTAGAGGAGAATGTCATGCTGGCAATGGAGAATTAATGGAGGTACAGAAAGCTTACTATCCACTTTAAACTACAGTATGACTGAGCCCACTGTTAAGAACTCTAATGAGCTACACAACTGGGGGTGCTCATTCAAAGCCAGTCAGGTTTTCTGGCCTAATTCCCAGCCAAAATCTGAAGAAGCCTAACTCTGGCTTCATCACATCTTTGCAAAGCAAGCATTTCTAGGTGCTTACAGGCTCACCCTGCTGAAGATGAACTTTCCCCCCTTTAGAGCTCAGTCTCATGTTTGCTGCAAACTAGAATTACAGATTGAGATACCTGAAGTGATCAAGTAGTAAAAGATAGTATCTTAAATACTCACTTATTAAGAAAGTATCAAGTCCGTCCTTCAGTAGGTTATGTGGTCTACTCACAGTAGTTTGTTAACATTCGTTCTAATCACATATTTTGTGGTCCAATACAAACCTGTAATAGAACAGAAGATCCTTACCAAGTAGAGCTCAGTATACCCAGCAAGTTTTAAAACTGAGGACAATACACATAGAAATGTAATGTTATTTTACATTTCTGCAAGCGCCGAATTTCTAGCAAAAATATAATCTTACTAATCAGAGATGCATATTATACCTAATCTAGGAACAACATATTAGCACAAATATGTGAGTGTTCTGAGAGAGGAAATCAAGGGCCATTGGCCACTCCTTCCCAAATTCCATGCCACTGCTACAGTGAACGACATGGGTTTGGATTTACGCATACTTGGGTCTGAACCCCCGGCTTGTCTCTAGACACCATCCTACAAAGTAGCTGAAGTCCCTCACTAGACAAATGAGTGTGGAAAAGGGTTTAACAATGGTAGGGAGTCTGAAATCCATTGCTTTCCAAGTAAGGCACTAGTGTGTGTGTGTGTGTGTGTGTGTGTGTGTGTGGGACTGCCTCTATATAGATCTCATGTTGAATAAATATATGCTGTTTACTCATGTAATTATTCTGCTTCTGAAAACAGTGAGTTTAGTAATCTGCACATGCGCTGAGCTCAGACTGAGTGCTTACTTTAATGAGGACTTGAAGCTGCTTATGTCTATATTTTATTTTAGTGGTATCTACATTATATTCTCCTCATCCAGGTGGCAACGTACACCCCACCCTGCACAAAATTTGAATTTTCCTGTTCCATAGATACCGTATTTTTCGCACCATAGGACACACTTTTTCCCCTCCAAAAATGAAGGGGAAATGTGTGTGCGTCCTATGGTGCGAATGCAGGCTTTCGCTGAAGCCTGGA